CCCCAAAACCCCAAAACCCCAAAACCCCAAAACCCCAAAACCCCGACTTTCTCCTATTTGTAAATTCAGAATGTATTAATAATAATCGATAGTGAAAATTTATAAAGTATTTTTATGAACGACGATTATTCTGGTTAGAGCTAGCCTCTACTCAATTCAAGTATATTCCTGAACACTAATCTTAGCTAGAAAATAATCATAGTTATGTTGATGAGGACGAAAGGAAGTCAATGGCTATTCTTAATTTGCAAGCTATACTGAATGTGGATGATGTAGATATAGTTATCAAGTTGCTAGAGCAAAATAATTGGGATGAGACAGTAATGATTATTCTCAAACTTCATGCATCATTCTAAATAATATATCTTTTAGACTGCTGCATCTGCTTTCTATGCTTAATAGATCAATGATTAGCAAAGAAATTCAAGACCGAGAAATGATAGTAATTTCTATTAAGAAGAAGATGATACTGGTGTAAGAGCTCCAATGCAATTCCAATAGGGTAAAACCTTAAAATATTTATGCTCATCAATAATTTCATTTTACAGAGCAATTGATAGATGATAATACAAATTTAATTGCAAATATGGGAGTTTATCAAGCGTTAGCTTAAGCATAAAGACGATAAACTTGGAGAGCACCTAGTTATAGATTCACAAATAATATAGATGATGATGAAGAAGAGGAGGAAAAAATGGAAGATGAGAACAATGGTCAAAACAACAATTAAAATTAGGGCATATTTGGAAGTGTCTTTTATTATACCAAATACTTCTTCCTTACTATCTGGAACGGATTTACTTACATATTTAAAACAGTTTTCGCAAGAGGAGATGTTCATCCAAATACTAATGGCTAAGAATTTGCAGCTGTGTTTGATTAAGCAATGAGAGATCTTTAAAGGCAAAATGAAGTTAGAGTAAAATTTTTCGATAGCAGCTTTCATGAACTTTGCGAAAAATCAAGAGAATAAAAAAAGCCATTGCTTATTGTAATGCTAAATGAATAAGATGAGGAAACATTTAGATTTACTGCTAATGCCTTCTCAAATTAAGAAGTTTAAAGTTTGATGAATAATGATTTCCTTATTTACGGCATGTTTAAAGAACGAGCAGAGGCTAATCTCTAAAGAGAATTAAAATTCCCAGCAAACGCTACTCTATGCGTGTGGATGCTTACTGTAGGGCATGATCAAAATATTACTATACAGTCTCGACATGGGGGTATGGCTGATGAATTTATGCCAGAAAATTATTTACCTTATCTTCATTAGAATTTAGTCTTGTACAGAATTATTGCTGAGGAAGACCCAGATTACTAAAGAATTTAGATACTTCAGGACGGTAATTTTAATTTTTTTAATTGATAATTGTAGCTGGAATTATTCCGATCGATGCACGACCAAGTCATAGAGGTTCTTCAATATTTGGCTCAGACTCATAGTCATTCATTTAAGACCCCTTAATTGAAGAGTAAAAGCAAAGATTGAGTCAAGATAGAGCGTAAAAATTTATTCTTATATATTAATATAATTATTTAGTCTAAAAGAAAAACAGAAGAGAGAATTGGAGGAGGCTTAATTGCTTGATTAAATAAAAAGAAGTGAAGAAGCAGAAAAATTGAAACAATAACAATAAGAAGAAGAGTAGAAACGCCTAGATTAGTTGCTTTAAGAGCAAATTCATTAACAAAAACTAACTATAGCTTAGAAAAAGAAGGAATAATTGCCACTTGAACCACCTGAGGGTGATCCTAATGTGTGTTCCTTAGTTTTCAGACTCCCAGGATCTGGGGAAAGAGTGTCAAGAAGATTTCTTAAAACCCAGAAGATTTAACTAATATATGACTACATTGAGAGTCTAGGAGAATAATTACAGTTTGAAACCCCTCACTGCGATTTCATCATTTTTCAAAGCATGCCAAAGAAAGAATATAATGACATGGAGAGAACTTTAGCTGAGGAAGGATTATTCCCTAGAGCTATGTTGTAGATTAAAGAGAAGGAATGAGTGTTTATCGAACTTAATATCTTAATAAATTCCTCTTCATTTCTAAATTCAATCTAGATGGGGTTTTGGGGTTTTGGGG